AGAACCCAGAAAGACTGATGAATCTTTAAATGATACTCATAAGACCAAATATAGCATTATTATGGAACAGAGAAATGTATGAGCGCTTTCCTCTGGCTTGAAAATCAAAGGGTACACAGAGGAAGTAATTTCAAAGAGAGTGTGTTCTATCCGAAAAAAATGTTTCAAAGCATGCTGAATTACGCAATGAAACAGCAAAAGAATGTAAAAAAGAAAAAAAATTTACTAAAAACCTGAAGTTGGTTATATAACTAAAATCTTAGAGAATTTTACTTCTGGAAAAGACCTATTCAAATGGCTGGGTTATGTGGAAAAAGTATAACAAATAGTTCAGAAAAGTGGTTTAAGAACCTGTATTGATAAGATGAGAGCTCTGTACCAAAAAGGTAACTCCAAAACAAGGTATGGAGGTACCAGTGGGGAGTGACTGGAGGCAGGAACACATTTAGGAGGTTATTCAATCCAAGCAAAACATAATGAGGCTGCAGAGGAAAGAGAATGAATGAGAGCTATATTATGGAGACAGAATCAACATAATTTGCTAAATAATTGGATGTGCTGGAAAGGAGTATACCCATTATCATTTTTCCCCTTCTCCCCATTTGGCAAGATTAGGAATTAAGGAAAGATAATAGTTTTAGCTACATATAGGATATATACTTTTGCAAAGTATCAGTCCTTCAGATGGTGGTTTTCTTTTTTAACCCAGAGAAAAAGTGGATTTATAACATGCATCCAATTTACTTTCTTGAATAAACAATTTTAAACATACCTTGTTTCAGGAAATGCAAATTTGTTACTACTATACTATGAGAAAAAATCAATAAATTCCCAGAAAAATGAATGTTGTCTAGAATATATGAGTAATATCACTGTAAAATAAATTATGAACATGTGATATCCATCTACTTATAATCATGCAATTTAAAAATAATCTTAGAACAGGCCTTATAGAAATTCTAGAATATAACTGCAATATAAATAGAGAACAAGTGTTTACTATGTGCAAGTACTAAAATATGACACACATTATCTCATTTAATCTTCATAATTCTATAAAGTTGATCCTAATATACTGCTGCATCTTATAGCAAAAGAAGCCAAGTCTAAGAGAGGTCAAGGCTTGCTTAGATTTCATAGCTATTAAGAGTAATAGAGACAGAATTTCAACCTATGTTTGTTTAATTCTAATGCCACACATTCTTTAACACTGAGCATATTGTTTATAACTGAAATCATATTGGAATTTTTTTGGTTGAGCCTTCAAAAACTACAATAACAAAATTATAAATTAACAACTGCAATTTAACAATTCACTGAAAAACAGAAATTACAATTAAATGTAACACTTCTAGATTCTGTTAGCTAGAACTTGCACACTAATGGAAATTCACACCAACGCTGGATCAAGTCTGTGTGCATAACCTCCACGCTCTGTCTCACTCTGAGTTACAGTAGCAGGTGTATAAAAAACATGCCAGGAAAAGAGTGGTGACCTAAATTTAACTTCCAAGGCTTAGAGCAGACAGAATGGCAGTTATGAGTCACAGGCATCAAATATGTAGATAAAATGTGCTGCCCTCTAGTGATTTCAACACCTCCCATTTAACACTAAAGTCTCATAAGAAAAATAATTCAAATCTTCCTTTCACTTTATGATAAGATAAATAGAATACCTATTGTTTAAGCCAAGAGTAAACTTTTGGTACGTAAGACCAAATACAGAAATATATCCAATAATAATTATTCACTAATTCAGTATGGTTAAGGGAATACCAGTACAGAACATGAGAAAGATCAATTAGTGAATACAGACAGGGTGGTTACATTTTATGCAAGGGATTTATGTCTTACAATACAATTCAAACCCTGCTTATTTCAAAGCTTTTTTCCTATAGAAATAAATGTAAAGACAGGTTGTAATACATTACAAGTATAGTACTGTATTTCTTTTTCAAGGATAGCTTTAAAGCATAATAAATTATTATAATAAAATCTGTTTTTAAGAATGCTTTTAAAAATATATATATATATATATTATTGATTTTTTACAGAGTGGAAGAGGGATAGAGAGTTAGAAACATCGATGAGAGAGAATCATCGATCAGCTGCCTCTTGTACAGCTGGGGATGTGCCCACAGCCAAGGTACATGCCCTTGACGGGAATCGAACCTGGGACCTTTCAGTCCACAGGCCGACGCTCTATCCACTAAGCCAAACCGGTTTCAACTTTAAGAATGCTTTATAAACATAAAGTTTTTATAGTAAGGTAAATTCTATATCACTTTCACTTACTTCCAAAATATCAAAAATATTTCCTAATTTAACACAAATGACAGCTTGGTTAGGAGTGCATTAGAATGGTTGTGATTTTAGAGCCAAGATGCCAGAGATTCTTAATTTAACATTAGGAGTAAAAATAATTGCAAAATAGTCACCAAGATCACGTGCAGAAGTTCCCATGCACGTACTAGTACACAACAGAATGGTTCACAGGATAGTGACAAAGAATGCTCAGTACTTCTGGTTACCAGTTAAAGTGGTACCACCTAGAATAAACATGGTTTTTAATTCACCAGGCCTACCAGCTTTGAAACAAAGTGTTTCTTGATCTTTTTTAAAAAAATTATTTTTGGGATTAGCATTATTTAAAATTTTTAGCATTAAGTACTATTTTTCACTGTTCCAAATTCACAAAAAATATGCTTGAAAGTAGCTTAACAGAATCATATTCTATGTCTCTTTTTTTATTGATTTCGGAGAGGAAAGGAGAGGGAGAGAGATAGAAACATCAATGATGAGAATCATTGATTGGCTGCCTCCTGCATGCCCCCTACTGAGGATCGAGCCCAAAACCTAGGCATATGCCCTGAATGGGAATCGAATCCGGACACTTCGTTCTGCAGGCTGACGCTATATCCACTGAGATAAACCAGCTTAGGCTATACTCTATTTATAACAGCTTTCTTTTTCCTGTTAGAAAACATAACTTTTTTATTTTGTTTTGTTTTCTTTTGTAATCGCTTTATTGAAATACTAGAGGCCCATTGCACAAAATTTGTGCATGGGTAGGGTCCCTAGGCCTGACTGGCAATCAAGGCTGATCTGTGGAATGATCAGAGGGTCAATCAGGGGGTTCTCAGCACCTGCCTTGGCCAGCCTGGAGCCGTCACCCGCTGAGCCTACCCCCACCACCGGTTGCCTTCCTCTGCAGGGTGACCAGCTGGGTGACAGGCGAGGGGTGGGGAAAGGGGGGAGGGAGTTGACTTGTTCAAGCCTGCCTTAGCTGGTCTGGGGCTTGAGGGCAGCTGCTGTGTTGAGTGTCTGCCACCCGGTGGTCAGTGCCTGTCGTAGGCCTCAGGCTAATGCTCTATCCATTGAACCAAACCAGCTAGAGCTAAGATATATTTTTATTGATTTTAGAGAGGAAGGGAGAGGGAGACAGAGACAGGAACATCAATGATGAGAGAATCATCAATCGACTGCCTCCTGCACACCCCACACTGGGCATCAAGCCTGAAATCAGGCAAATGCTCTGACCAGGAGTTGAACCATGACCTCCTGGTTCCTAGGTTGATTCTCAACCACTGAGCCATGCCGGCCAGGCTATACTGTTTATATTTTGAATTACAAATCAGTGAAATAAGTTTTGCTGAGGTTCTAACTTTGTCAATAAGACCTAACCCGTGTGCCTTCCAAAACTAAGATGATTTGCAAGGAGTATAAAACCATCTATGAATACTTAAGGCAAATATCTTACCTGCAGAAATGCTCAGCATTGGCAATATTTCCAAATAAAATGTTAATTTATATTAAAACTCTTTTTTTTTTTTAAAGTTTTTTACATTTTCCTAAATTACTAAGTAGATAAATACACCTATATTTTAGTACGATATATCATGAAGTATCCTAAGATATCTTTACAATCAAGATAAAAAAATGTGGCCGGCACCGGTTTGGCTCAGTGGTAGAGCATCGGTCTGCGGACTGAAAGGTCCCGGGTTCGATTCCGGTCAGGGGCATGTACCTTGGTTGCGGGCACATCCCCAGTAGGGGGTGTGCAAGAGGCAGCTGGTCGATGATTCTCTCTCGTCGACGTTTCTAGCTCTCTATCCCTCTCTCTTCCTCTCTGTGAAAAATCAATAAAAATATATTAAAAAAAAAAAAAAAAAGATAAAAAAATGTGAAAAGTAGAATCAGTTGAATTTATACCTGCATGAACAACAAAGTGTCTTAATAATTCTTGGTAAAGCTAATATAATATTGTTGTCAACTGTAATAAAAAAATTTTTTTTTTAATTTTTAATAATGATTCTTGGGACCTAAGGTAACTTGAAAGTGTCATGTCTCAGATCTCTGACTCTGACCCTGTCCACTTTCAATGTGATATAGTGACATAATACGTAATATATATATATATATATATATATATATATCAGGTTCCTGACACAGAACTCCTAAAATCCTTGGAATTTCCTGAGTGATGAGGTTACAGGAGCATCTTTTATTATTTACTAGAGGCCCAATGCATGAAATTCGTACATGGGGTGTGTGTGTGTGGGGGGGTGTCCCTCAGCCCAGGCTGCACCCTCTCCAATCTGGGACCCCTCGAGGGATGTTAAACTGCCCGTTTAGACCTGATCCCACTGGGTTGAAAGGGGTTTATTATCCTACCTAATAAATGGAGGTGAGAGATACATCGACCTGTTGCCTCCCATACACAATCTGACTGGCAATTGAACCTGAGACCTTCCAGAGCATGGAACAACACTTCAACCAACTGAGCCACACCAGCTAAGACTTGAATTTATATCTTAAAGCCATTAAGTTCACTTGAAAAATAAAACTGAAAGAAAAAACAATAAATATGATAGGACATTTTTGCTCTTTGCTATTTCATAAAGAATACGTAACCATATTAATATAAATGATTACAAGAATATATTAATAAGAAATAAAACCACACATTTAGTAAAAACTATGTAAAATATCCATCTTACCAAAATCATTAGCAAGAGAATTAGGATCTGATGCCCCCAGCGTCGCTTCAAACTCCTCTTGAAGACGATATGCTCTTTGCAGCAGAGATTCAAGCTTATGGATAAACTCAGAGCTAATGATATCCTACAAAGAGAGAAAAGGGAACACGGCAAAATTATATTTTAATGTTGAACTCAGAAACATTCCCCACTTTTACATGGAAGGCAGGGAAGTGTAGGATATAAAAAACTACTGCTGGGTGGTGAGAATACTGCGACAAAAGTCAGGAGGCCTGGGTTCTAGCTGTGCCTCTGGCTAACTCACCTCAGTTCTCAGAGACTCAGAGTTTTTGTGAAATGGTGTTGCTTAGATCAGTGATTCTCAAAGTAAGGTCCCTGGCCCAGCAGCATCAACATTATCTGGGCACTTGTTAGAAATGCAAATTCTCAGGACCTACCTCAGCCCTACTGAATTAAAACCCTGGGCCTGGCTGGTGTGGCTCTGTGGTTGAGCATTGACCCATGAACCAGGAGGTCACAGTTCAACTCCAAACAGGACACATCCCTGGGTTATGGGTTCAATTCCCAAAAAGGGGTGTGCAGGAGGCAACTGATCAATGATTCTCTCTTATTACTGATGTTTCTATCCCTCTCCCTTCCTCACTCTGATATTAATAAAAAACATTAAAAAAATTATTTTTAACCCTAGGGGTGGGTTCTCAAATCTGTGTTTTCACAAGCTTTTCAGATGATTCTAATGCATGCCCAAATTTGAGAATCACTAGCCTAGATGATCAGTAAGTACCAATCCAGCTCTAACTCAATGTGAGTTCTATGAATATAATGGAACTTAATTAAATGCAAAACACAAAACAGACATTTACAAATTCCTTTAGAAATCATATCTGCTTTAATTCTATACATTCTTAGAAAACCAGGAAACTTGAGGATAATTTGCAAATTTGGAATTTAACAGGTAACTGAACAGAAAAAGTCCAATAAGAAATAGCCCCAAATAATCCTCGGGGAGAAAATAAGCAGTTCTACTATTAAATGCCATAGAAAGCAAGTGCACTGAATCAACAATAAAAGTAGTTTGATTCCTCCAATTCGATGAAGACCACTCTCAGATAAATCACCCTTAACTTACATCTACACTTTCTTCAGCAATGGCATCTCCTGCACCCAATTTAATGGAGCTACAGGCTTCATCTTCAGCCTGCCTATTTCGAAAGGTTAGAGCTTGTTCCCATCGACGCAATGCCTCTTCAAACAATTCCATACCTAAAAATTAAGAACAGGACAATTGTAAGTAAGCAAAACCAATTATCTGGGGTCTCAAGTGTTTTTCATACTGTTAGCATCCATGGCAAACAATCTGACAGTAATTTTGGCACTAAAGAATAATTTTATGCTCACACCATTTCATAGTATAATCTTAAATTTCCCAATGTATTCCAATAATTCCAGTCAACCAAATATCAGAGAGAATTTTATATAAAATGTAACTCAAGTGTATAAGGTGCTTAGGATTTTTCTAGAACAATATCTTGAATTCATCAAAAGTCCAACAATAATGGCAAATTTTTATAGTCACACACAACTCATTTCCCTGAGTTGAAATGAAAACTGATAAATAAGTAAAAGAAACTATTTGATAAGAAGCTATCAGGTTTATAAAGGTTCTCAGAAGGAAAGAGTAGCCCTAGCTGATTTGGTTCAGTAGATAGAGCATCAGGCTTCGGACTGAAGGGTCCCAGGTTTGATTCCAGTCAAGGGCACATGCCCAAGTTGCTACTTGATCCCCAGTAGAGGGCACGCAGGGGGCAGCTAATCAATGATTCTCTCTCATCATTGATGTTTCTATCTCTCTCTCTTCCTTCCTCTCTGAATCAATAAAAATATTTTTTTTAAAGGAAAAGCAATTCAATGTTACAAAACAATATTTTTAAATAAGAAGGAAGAGTAAAGCTTAGAAGAAAGATAATAGCATGGGAGTTAGAATACAGTGTTTTCTATTCTTTTTTTCACAAAATGACCTCTTAAATGCATAAGATACCAATTTGCTGATCTGGATGATTAAATTGCTGGGCCAGAGTTACAAATATATAAGACTATGGGAAGAACCCACAAAGGATATTTCAAGTAGGAATTTCATAAGCCTGCTGATGTGGGGGGAAAAAATGGATGAATATGTGCCTCTTTTCTTCCATATTAAAAGAGATTTACCAAAACAAAAATATTTCAAAACTTTAAGTTTTCTAGACATATAAAAGAAAAATATCTTTAAAAGCTGCTTAAGAATCTGGGCAAGTCTTTCTCAAAATGTTTTTAAGATGTGATAGTCAAAGAATACCTCTCCTCTAAAATAATTTCTTCAATTATCTGGAGAAACTACAACTCTAAAAAAAAAACAAAAAACTTGTCCTTTAAAAACAGTTTAGGACTCTCCTCCTTGTTTTATTTTATTTTTATTTTTTATATATTTTATTGATTTTTTACAGAGAGGAAGGGAGAGGGAAAGAGAGTTAGAAACATGGATGAGAGAGAAACACCCATCAGCTGCCTCCTCCACACCCCCTACTGGGGATGTGCCCACAACCAAGGCACATGCCCTTGACCAGAATCGAACCTGGGACCCTTCAGTCCAGTCCATAAGCCAACGCTCTATCCACTGATCCAAACCGGTTTCGTTTTATTTTTTTGTAGCAAAGAATCAACCACTTAACTCTTCCTTCTAACAAATTTAAGCACTTAAAAGTCGATGACTGTATATTACTATCTACTCTCGTTTCTCCAAATCATACAATTCTTCCTCCCTTCCCTCCCCCCCAAATCATACAATTCTAATTCCTTCAGCCTTTCCTCACTCCATCCACTCTCTAGCCATCTGGTTATTTTGGTTAAACATAAGGAAGAATGATCTAACAACAGCATTGTCTCACTGAAGAACATGGCCCAAACTATCACATATCATCCATTTTGTAACAGAAATTCAAATATGTCATCAATCTTATTTTTATGTCATCAGTCTTGTAAAGAGCATTGAAACAATAGGTGGGGGGAAATAGGGCTCTTACCAATCCTGATTCTATGATACTCAGACTCCTACCTGCTTCTCTAGTTTTGCTCTATTTCTCTTCAATATTCCAAGAGAAGCTGTGAGGTAAGTTTACTAGACACAGAGTAATCTAGAAGCATAGTGAGCTTAATGCTCTGAAGACGTTTGGAAAAGGTGATAAAAGAGCTACTCTTACACCTTTCCCACAGGCAGGAGTACCTACTGTGATACCTCGGGAGATGATCAGAGTGCATTCAGAGGCACAGTCATCATCTCCTTTACTGCTCACTGCCTGGGAGCTACATCAATACGTAATTAATACTAATTTCTTTTCATTAAGAGGAATATTAGCCTGAAATAGAGAAAATCAGTGAAAAGCATGCTCTGGTTCTCTTTCTGAGATCCAGTGAGACTTTCTAGACATGCTCAAGAGCATGTAAAACACAGGCCTCTTTCTATTTAAAATTTTCTCTGAATAGAAGAAGAAAACCAACGATAGCTAGATAGAAAGGTAAATGAAGAGAAAGGTGGGAACTTAAATCAGGAGGCCACAAGCCAGAAGCCACTAGAAACCAGAAGAGACAAGAAACAGATTCTCTCCTAAGCCTCCAGAGGGAGCATGGCCCTAATGACACCTTGATTTCAACCCAATGATGGAGATTTCAGACTTCTCACTTCAAGGACTCTGAAATAATATATTTCTACTGTTATAAGCCATCAGCTGGTAATTTGTTACAGCATCCTCAGGTAACTAACACAATAGATTGTGTTATATACACTAGATTCAGTAGATATCAGAACATTGTAAAATTATAGCTGTTTCCCTTAGAACCATTCATAGTTCTTTAGTTTCACATTAAAGAAATATATCTTGAAACTTTATTATGTTATTCCTACCCATCAAGTATAAGTTCTCAGGCGTAGTCACGGGAATGTTAACAAGTTTAATATCATCTTCATCTGTTTTGTCCCAGGAATTAGAATTGCCACAAGCACAACTATGACAAGAATTGACACTCTGGACCTAAAATTAAGATGGATAAAAGTTACTTCAAAATCTTTTTTTTAAATAGTATTTTGTAACTTTTTATATTTATAAATTATTTATATAAATCCTATTTCTGGCAAAACAATCCATATTATTTCTATTTGAATTAATAAGTCTGATTTATTTAATCAAATGTAGGAGTCAAAATTTCTGAGTCTTTATTTGCTCAAAAATAACAATATTTTTAACATAAATCAGTTATTTCCATAAAAAATCAAGCAGTTTTGTATAATTCTTTGGTTTATTAAGTATTTACTTATAAATATTATCCACACCTACTTTGATTGAGGTAACTAGTGTTAATCCAAAAATAAAAGAGAAATGTGAAAGGCAGCAAACATTTATTAGCGATCCATAAGTAACTCAGGCAGGAGTCCTATTAGTGTTCTGAGTAGGAAAGAAAGGCAAGGGTTACTTGTGAGGAAGAAAAGGGGCCAACTACTCAACGAAGGAAGGCATTTCTGTAAGTGCAGTTAAACTAAAATAGTGATGCTAATTCTAAACCATGTTTTTCATTTTCCATCTGGCCGTCATTAGTCAGGGTAGTCATAATATTTCTGATTTCTTGTTATCTTTGCAGTTATTTGGGGTATAATGCTGCTTTAGGCCTAGTTAAAAAAAAAAAAAAAAGTTATTTTACCCTGGTTTTATATTCCAGAGATTTGAGACTTGCAAGGCATCTTCTCTGGGATATCAGTTCTGACTACATTTTAAAGTGGCTCTGTTTATAAATTTTTTACAATAGCTTATTTTCCATTTAAAATTTATCACACATTCTCTAATTGATAACTAAAATTAAAAATCCTCTGCCCTCTTCCCTTCTCTAACAAGGTTCACCGAGCCAAGCATTTCAGTTACCTCAGTGCAGATAACTTCCAAATCTATAATTCCCAAATCTGTCCTAGTTTGAGAATTTCCATCTGCCTACCTGGTGACTCTACCTAGCTCTTCTGCTGGCATCTCAAACATTATATCAAGAAAGTGTAACAAGAACTCTTCTTCCTCCTAAATGTACTAGTAGTATGAACTTCCATCCCCATAATTTCTCAAATAAAAAACAAAAAGTCATCTTTAACCTTTCCCCCACAAACCTCTCATAGTCAATTACCAAGCTCTGTAGGTCCTGTCCCCTTCATTCCACTCCCATTGTCAGGACCCTGATGTAGGCATTCTTAAAAGGGCAGAAATCTGGGTTCACAGACCTGGTAGGGGCCTCCCTCGGTTAATGTGGCAAGTATAGTAAAGTGATTCTAAAGTCTTGTTATTCACAATATGATCATAAGATTCCCTTTTTCTACCTCCTTGTCAAGAATAGCTTCAACTTTCAGTAGAGAAAATTCAAAACAGAGGCACTTCTCTGATACATTAAGTCCAAATTATAGCATGGCCATATATGTACTTCATTATCCTGCTCAGTTTCACAGAGAAACTGAAAGCTTGCAGGCCTTTGATCTACTTGTTCCTACCATACAATAGCCTTTAAAAATTTGTTATATTTTTTAGGCATTTAAGAATGGAGCAGATAAAATAAAATGGATTAAAAACAGCTGCTCAGACATGCTCCCAGGAACAAGCTGGAATTACAACTGAAATAGGCTTCCCGAATAATCAATGGAAAACTCACAGGAGAGAACCCTGATACCCAAAGACCAAAGGTGAAGAGTGCATAAAGACTGATAGGAGGGCTGGAGGCGTGAAAGGGCTGGCCAGGCACCCACAGACAACAACTGAAGTCCCGGAGAGATATCTCAGCTGGGGGAAGAGAGAGGGGAAGGGGGGTTGCCACTGAGAATTCTGGGATCTAACCCCGAAGCAGAGAGCACCAAACTGAGGAGAGTACTGACATAACATTTAGCTGTGAAAAGCAATGGAGTGCTGTCTGTCAGGAAGTGGCAGCTGAAAGTTCAAGATGCTCTTAAAGGACCAATGCACAAAAATTCCCTGTGGGGCCATCCACATTGTGCTTCAGCAGAGGGAGGGTGAAGTGGACTGGAGCTGTGAGAACAGGGACTCCTGAGATAAAGCTTAGAAGGCAGACACCCCAAGTTTTCTGGGCTGAGTCATCTGCTGCCTGAGGACATCTTTCTCATATATACATCTGCCTTGCCTGAGGGGAAGACAGTCTACACACCCTATAGGAAAACACCTTGCCCAGAGGCCACTTAAAGAGATTAAAAGTAGCAATTAGCCTTCAGGCAGAAGCAACTGCCCATCCTGCTGGAAAAAACAAACAAACAAAAAACTCTCACCACACCTGAGGATGATTGCCTGGGGGCAATCTAAATTGTAATCCTATTAATCTGTGGACTGAGGTTTTGAGTCTTTGTCTGATCCAATTAGAAACAGCCTTTAACACTGTCCTGCACTAGAGACTGAGAGGTATAGAGATCTACCTAAAATATAATCACAAACCCAAACAGACCACCAAAATGAGAAAGAAACAACCCGCAAATGAAAGAATTAGCAAATTCTCCAAAAGAAGAGATAAATGAAGCAAAAATAAGAAATATTTCTGAAACAAGCAGAAACCAAAATGGTGGCATAGGTAAACACCTGTACTGCTGCCTCGCACAACAATTTCAAAACTGCAACTGGAAGTCGAAACTGGTTTGGCTCAGTGGTAGAGTGTCTGTCTGTGGACTGAAGGGTTCTGGGTTCGATTCCAGTCAAGGGCATGTACATTGGTTGCGGGCACATCCCCAGTGGGGGGGGGGGAGGCAGCTGGTCAATGTTTCTCTCTCATTGACGTTTCTAGCTCTCTATCTCTCTCCCTTCCACTCTGTAAAAAATCAATAAAATATATTTTAACATATTTCTTTTAAAAAAAAACAAAAAACTGCAACTGGAAGACAGAGCAGACATCATCCAAAACCACTGGAAAGCTGGCTGAGTGGAAATTCTACAACTAGAAGGAAAGAGAAAAGGACACAGACTCAGAAGCTGTGGACAGAGGTGCGGAGACCTGCGCACGTGGAAAGAGCTGGTGGCTGAATACACTGCGGGCTTACTCATGGCACTTGGAGAGGGTGGGCAGCAAGTACGTGGCTAACTTTCTCGTTCGGAAGAGAAACAAAATCTCCCAACTGCACTGAACTCCAGTTCCGGTACCGAGACTGATTCGGTGAGAAACTGGACTGTGTGGTAGCGGGTGAAACTTGAAAGTAGTCTTCTCTCAGAGGTGTGTGCAGCCATTGTCATGGGACGCTGAGCCACAGGGGACTCTTAGGATGGGACTGACAGGAAACCAAGGCAATCTGCTCCACCACGAGACTCTGCCCCATCCAAGCTAAGCACAGAAGCTCTCCCAGTGGAGACACAGCTGATCCTCACAGCCAATTGGCCTGGAAGTCAACTCCCCCCAGTGATACTAACAACAATCTAGGCTTATCTACAACAAGATCGCACATACAGCCCACAAAGTAGTACCCCAAGGTAACTGGGGAGACTGAGCCACTGGGCCCTACTAGGACACCTAACACACAAAGCCACTCCATCAACTCAGGGAAGCAGCTAAAATGCGGAGACAAAGAGGCAGGTCACAAATGAAGGAAATGGAGGAAAACAAAAGACTAGATATAGAGATTAAAACCACGGTTATAAGGTTTTTCAAGAATTTCCAAGAAAAGGCCAATAAATTTAATGAAACCCTCAAGGATATGAAAAAGGATCAACTAGAAATTGATGAACCAAAAGATAGATACAGAGACAGTAAAGCAACAAGCAGACTGTCAAATTACAGGGGGAAGGGTAGGGAGATCTGGGGGAGATAAGAGATCAACAGAGGCTGTTCTATTATTTTTTTTTTTTAAGAAATGTATCTGAAACAACGTTCAGAGTAATGATGTTAAAAATGCTCAACAGTATGAAAAAGGATACAGTAACTCTGAAAAAAGAACATTCTGAGATAAAGAATGACATAATACAAATAAATAACATATTGGAAAGAATACACAGCAGATTAGGGGAAGCTGAGGATCCAATCAGTGAATTTGAAGACAGAGTTGAAAATAACACTAAATTAGAGGAGGATCCAAGATGGCTGCTCAGGTAAACACCTAACCACAGCCGCACACAACAATTTCAATGGAATACAACTAAAATATAAAATGGACATTGCCCAGAGCAACAGGTAGTCGACTGACTGAAAATTCTACAACAAGAAGGAAAGAGAAAACCAGAAGGAAAATCAGAGGAGCTGAAAAAGCCTAAGGTACGGAGACATGCTGCACACACGCACGCACGCGTTCGGAGAGGATGCAGGCGGAGAGGAGGAGAAGGCTGGGTGCCTGCCTGGCGTTCCCTAGCAGGAAGGAAATAAAAGCCCCGGTCTGGGCTGAACCCCAGAACTGGCAGCATTGAAAACCAGTTCTAGGCCAGACCCTGGGGACCCAGGCTCGCGCAGGGGGAGACGGGCCTGTGAGGCAGAATCCCAGGGGAGCGGCGAAGAGCGGAGCCCCCGGAGCCACGCACATTGCGCGCAGAGGAAGGAATGTTGACTCTGATGCTGGATTGCCCTGGCGGGAAGGAAACAACCTCCAGCTGTGCTGAGCCCCAGTGCCGACTGCTCTGAACCCCAGTTCTAGGTCAATCCCTGGGAACCCAGGCTCAAACAGAGGGAAACGGGGCTGTGAGACGGAGTCCCAGGGGATCGGCCAGGGGCAGAGCCGTCGGAGTCACGCACATTGCGCGCAGAGGACAGTCTGTTGACTCTGATGCTAGATGCCCCTAGCGGGAAGGAGAAAAAAAGCTCCAGTCTGGGAGGAACGTGACCAGGAGCAGGAGCCGCTGCCAGACACCAGCCAGCCGGGCGCCGGCAAGGAGCCGGGCGACAGGGCCCCCGGGCGGGGGGTGGGTGCCGCTGGGCCCTTGACTGCTGGGTGTGGGCCACGGAGCCGAGACCGGGGGCTGCTTCCTGGGCGGCGCCAACCCCGGCAACAGGCTGAAGTCGTGCAGGAGCCCGCGGAGAACAAAGGGGTGCCACAGGCCAACCTGCTGAGCTTCCAGGACAAGGAGGAAGAAACCGAAGACGTTTTCAATGTGAAGAAATCAAGTTATAGCAAAAGATAGTAAAATTACTTAAGAAAGAATACAAAGAAGATCTTGAAAAATTGAAGACTAAGTCAGAACTCAACTCAGCAGCCAACATTGCAACATAAATGTGTTAAAAAAAAAAAAGGACAGAATGTTGGAACGATGGCATCCAGGCCCAGAGTGGCCAGGCACAAGGCAGTGGCAGCCAGACCCCAGAGCAGCAGCAGCCAGAATCAGAGCAGGAGCAGCCAGGACTGGAGCAGACAGACCTGGGGCAGTGGCAGCCAGGCCTGGGGCGGAGGCGGCCAAGCCCAGGGTGGCCAGGACAGGAGCACCCAGCCCCGGAGTGGCCAGGCCTGGAGCAGCCAGGTCGGGAGCAGCCAGGCCCAGAACAGCAGCAGCCAAGCCCAGAACATCCAGGCCGGAGCAGCCAGGCTCGGAGCGGCCGGGCCCGGAGCAGCCGGACCCAGAATAACCAGGTCGGGAGCAGCCAGGCCCAGAGCAGCAGCAACCAAGCTCAGAGCAGCCAGGTCGGGAGCAGCCAGGCCCGGAGCGGCAGAGCCCGGAGCTGCCGGGCACAGAGCAGCTGGGTCGGGAGCAGCCAGGTCCGGAGCAGCAGCGGCCAGGCCTGGAGCGGCCGAGCCAGGAGCTGCCGGGCTGGGAGCAGCCAGTCCTGGAGCAGCAGCGGCCAGGCCCAGAGCAGCTGGGTCGGGAGTAGCAAGGTCCAGAGCAGCAGCAACCAAGCCCGGAGCGGCCAGGCCGGGAGTGGCCAGGCCCAGAGCGGCCAGGTGGGGAGCAGCCAGACCCAGAGCAGCAGCAGCCAGGCCAGGAGCGGCAGTGGCCAGACCTGGAGCAGCTGGTTGTGGAGAGGATCAGAGCAACAGAGGCCAGGCCCGTAGCAGCCAGGCCCAGAACAGCTCACTCCTCGCCTGCTCCGCCCCAAGGCTGCCCCTCAGACATGGCTGGAAACTTTTGGGGGAACTTGAAGGTCTGCTGAATTAAGTGATGAAGGCTTAGATCTGGATGTGTTGAGTTAGTATAGCGCTGGGGTGTTGATCTGTGAGTGCCTTGTGTGGAGCCTGGAAGAGGTTGGTTGATCTATTTGGAAATGTCTTTTGTGTGAAGTTTATCCTTGTGCATGTGGAGGTATTATTGATTGGAGAAAATGCTAAGTAACTGATTTACTATCTGAAAAATTTAAAGTTCTGAAAGTTTAAGGTCTCTTGCCAAAAAGAGGTTTTAAAGCTAACACCTTAATTTTAATGGAGAAAGGGGAAGACAAGCCCTTCCCACCCAGAACAGGTAATCCAATTCCAACCAGCAGCTATCTTTAAACAATGTGTCCATTTACACTTGAATGGCTACACCTTTGAATAGCCTAAAGGCAAGTTTACATGTAAACAAGTTTGCATCTCAATACCCAGGGCAGAAAAAAACAAGGTTTAAAATTATTAGATTTTAAAATTTATTCTTAGAAGTGTAAAAGTTTATTAATTAAAAACAACAACAACAAAAGGAGATTGAAAAACCTGATGAACAATATTAGCTATTGATTGTAGTAGAGTCGGCGATATGGGAGGGGAGTGAACTGACTGTTCTCCGGGAAAGGGGGAGTGGTGGAAGAGACTGAACATGAACTGTGCACCTATGGATGAGGACAATGGGGGGGTGGAGAGGGGGTGGAGGGTGGGGTGGGAATCTGGTGGAGGGGGGAAGAAATGAGGAACCTTTGTAATAATATGAACAATAAAGATTTATTAAAAAAAAAAAATAAAAGGAAAAAAAGAAAAAAAAGAAAAGAAAAGAACACTAAATTAGAGAACCAAAAAGAGAAACAATTAAAAAACAGGAGGAAAGCTTAAAGGAGCTGTGGGACAATGTGAAACATAACAATATTAGAATAGTAGATGTGCCAGAAGAGGCAGAAAGGGAGAAAGGAATAGAGAAGGTGTTTGAAGAAATAATGGTAGAAAACTTCCCTAACCTGGTAAAGGAAAAAGTCACAAGTTTAGGAGGCACAGAAAACCCCAAATAAGAAGAACCCAAACAGACCTATGCCCAGACACATCATAATTAAAATGCCAAAAATTAATGACAAAAAGAGAATGTTAAAGGCAACAAGAGAAAAGAAAACTGTTACCTACAAATGAGCTCCCATAAGGTTGACATTGACTTCTCATCAGGAACTCTACAGGCCAGAAAGGAATGGCATGAAGTACTCAAGGTATTGGGAAGCAAGGATCTAAGACTAAGATTACTATATCCAGCAAGGCTATCATTCAAAATAAACAGCTTTCCAGAAAAAAACAGGCTAAAGGAGTTCATCACCACCAAGCCATCATTACAAGCAATGTTAAAGGGATTGCTGTAAGAGATTGCTGAGAAGAAGAAACAGAGAAAAACCTAGCCATACAGAATTAAAATGGCTATAAATAAGTACTCTCAATAATAGCCCTAAATGTAAATAGATTAAAGGCTCCAATCAAAAAGTGTAGGGTAGCTGAATGGATATAAAAACATAACCCAACTATATGCTGTCTACAAGAGACCCATCTCAAAACAAAAAAAACACACAGGATGAAAGTGAAGGGATGGAAAAAAATTTTCCATGCAAATGGAAAAGAAAAAAAAGCTGCAGTGGCAATACTCATATCCAACAAAATAGACTTTAAAAGCACCATGCTAAGTGAAATAAGCAAGTTGGAAAAAGATAAATATCATACAATCTCACTCATTTGTGGAATATAATGAACAACATAAACTGATGAACAAAAATAGAGCCAGAGGAGGGAAAAACATTCTAGAACATAATAAAAATAATCCTGTTTTTGCCGATTTTTAGTATTTCCTACAACTTTTGTCATATCATACTATGCTATCGATAGTACAGTTTTGGTAATATTATTATACTTAAAATCCTTTTACCCTTGAAATATCGTTTATTGCATGTAATTTTATTTTTTTTATTATTTTTTTAAATATATTTTCTTGATTTTTTACAGAGAGGAAGGGAGAGAACTATAGAGCTAGAAACATCGATGAGGGAGAAACATCGACCAGCTGCCTCTTGCACACTCCCTACTGGGGATGTGCCCGCAACCAACGTACATGCCCCTGACGGGAATCGAACCTGCGACCTTTCAGTCCGCAGACCGACGCTCTACCACTGAGCCAAACCGGTTTCGGCTGTTTATTGCATGTAATTTTATATGTAAGGTCATTTTTCTTGAATAATTGGTGTTTACTGCATGTAACATTATTATATTTAAGATGGTTTTTCTTGAAATTTAAAAAAAACAAACCTGAAAAATAATAAAATACCTTGAAAAAAAAAGGGGGCAGCTATATATCCTAACAAAATATAAAAGGTACAAAACAAAATATGGTGTACTGTAAACTATTTTTTAAATTAATACACACAAGCCCAGCTGGTGCAGCTCAGTTGGTTGAGCGTCATTCTATGCACCAGACGGTGTCAAAGTTTTGATATGCCATCAAAGCACATGTCAGAGTTGTGGGCTCTATCCCCAGTAAGAAGCGTGCAAGAGACATCCAAATGATGTTTCTCTCTCTCTCTCTCTCACCCTTCCTTTCTCTGAAATCAATACAAAAAATAAAAAATAAATGAATATATATAATGGTAGAGGGATGCACTCCCTGAAAGATTATACATAAGAAAATGTCAGTTTGTCTCAAGTGGGGGAGGGAGAGATTGAGAGGATCAGGAATACATCTTTCACTGTATATTTCTTGCTTCTTTATTTAACAAATACATATACTACTGATTTTTTAAAATAATTTTAAACTATACTAGATTTAAACAAACAGTAACTTCATTCCTAACTTGTCAATCAATCCTATATAATAAAAGGCTAATGTGCAAATCGACAGAACAGCAGAATGACCTTTTGCTATGATGTGCACTGACCAGCAAGGGGCAGAAGCTCAACACGGGAAGTGACCCCTCGTGGTCAGTGCGCCCCCACAGGGCTCAGAGCTAGCAAGTGCAGCAGCGGTCGGGGGAGCCTCTCCCCGCTCTGTGGCAGCACTAAGGATGTCCGACTGCTGGCTTAGGCCCGCTGCCCATGGGGAGTGAACCTAAGCTGTCAGTCGGACATCCACTGAAGGCTCCTGGACTGCAAGAGAGTACAGACCGGGCTGAGGGACACTCCCGTCCCCCACTACCAGTGCACAAATTTCATGCATTTATATGTATGTATGTGTGTGTATATATATATATATATATATATATATATATATATATGTGTGTGTGTGTGTGTGTGTGTGTGTATTAATAAATAAATATATAGTTTTTTCCTATACACACATACTTTAGTACTATAATAATACTCCAAAGACAGAGGTGAGAAACTCCATACTTGGCTACAGTGAATCAAACATTTTTACCTAAGCAGACTCATCAAGTGAGTTTTGTGACCTCGTACAAAGTCTGGATGCATCTTCCAGCTTTTTGCAGAACATGTAGCTTTGAAGCCACATTTCCATATCACCACCATTTTTATAGGACCCCATGGGACCACATCACTTACTCAAAAAACCTGGAAGCAAACTGACTAAATATTTAGCAAAAGGATAATTTCATTTGCCTGAAGAGAACAAGCTCAATCAGATTTTTTAAAGGTTCTTTCCATATTAAGAATAACATTTAAGTCAACAGATAAACTTAAAAGAATAATGAATTTTCAACTTTACTTACAGAGGCCAAACTCTGTGCAGAACCTGAGTATTTACTGAAAAGTCCTCCATTAGCATAGTTACAAGACTGAGATCCTTTGTCTTTGAGAGAACTTAAAGATAATGTCAAGTTCTGTCTGCTACTGGAACAACTTGAACCTACCAAACAAACATAAATATTAAAAGTATCATAAGTCCAATGAAAAATTTCAGGTAAAATTTCAAAGTTTATGCTATATTAATTCACAAAGCTGATCTTAAAACATTTCATTCAATTGTATAAATTATTAAATGTACACCAATATTAAAATCTACATCTTTATAAATGTTTTTAATATTGCTAAAATCTGATTCTTAAATGAAGAACAAAACATTCATCTAATTAATTAGGGCAGCATTTAATGATCTAATGTAATTAATATAAAAATATTGAAAACTCTGAACCTCCCCTGACCGGGTAGCTCAGCTGCTTGAGCTTTGACTCATGAACCAGGAGATCACGGTTAGATTCCTAGTCAGGGCACATGCCTGAGTTGTGGGCTTCATTCCCCAGTAGGGGGTGTGCAAGAGCCAGCCAATCAATGATTCTCTTTCATCATTGATGTTTCTATCTTTCTCTCCCTCTCTGAATATCAATAAAAATATAAATAAAATATATAAATCGTTTTCTTGTACATAATACAGTACAAGATGCACAGTGGATGCCTTAAAACATGAATAGTACTGAATTATATTTATATGTATGTGTATATGTGTGTGTGTGTGTGTGTATATATATATACACACACACACACACACACACACACACACATATACACACATAAAGTATGTGTGTATAGGAAAAAGTATATATTTATGTGTGTATATATATATATATTTATGTGTGTATATATATATATATACACACATAAATATATACTTTTTCCTATACACACATACTTTATGGTTTCTCTTTGGCATATGCAAATTGTCCAATCATTACTCTTGTGCTTTGGGGTCATTATTAAGTAAAATAAGGGTTACTTGAACACAAGCACTCTGATACTGTGACAGTCAATGTGATAAGTGAAATGGCTTGGTAGCAATATATAGCGTGATGTGGGGAACAAATGGATGATTCTGTCCCAGGCCAGATGAAGCAGGACAACATACAATTTCATCACACTACTGAGATCAGCACACAATTTAAAATTTATGAATTATTTATTTCTGGAACTTACCATTTAATATTTTCTGATGGTTGACTGCAGGTAATTGAAACTATAGAAAGCAAAACCATGGATAGGGGCGACTACTGTATACAATTTTATGTGTCAATATTATCTTTATTTGTTTTTCTTTTTTGTTGTTGGATTTTTCTCAATATGATATTTAAAAGGAAATATAAATGGACATATGCCAAAATATTACCAATACTTATTTCCGGGGAGCAAGGTTTCCAGTGGTTTTAATTTCTTCTATTTGCTCATCTGTATTTCCTAATTTGTCTAAAGTTAATCTACATTACTTGTGAGTTAAATATTAAGGAAGGAAAATTTGGAGACTAAACCACTGAAATCACTGCATTCAGTTATGATTTACATATAACATTTCCTTTGTAGACTTAATTTAGCTATTTCTATTATACATACCTTTTTCTGATGCTGCTCTTTTAGTGTATTCAAGAATTAGGTGCTCTGGTTCCCATGGCAATATTTTTCCTTTCTTCTTCCCTCGTCTTCTTTTAAAGTGATGGGCCAGAAAAATTACAGATACAGCAGTCACTGCAGTTACCACAATCAACTTTTTAGCGACCGGTGAAAACCTGATCTGGAAAAGATGCAGTTAGGATGAGAAAAAATCTTTTATTTGTTCACTTAAAATAAAAGACATAAAATTTAAAATTATTCTTAAGCTAATCTAGTACTAAATACTACCCAAGCAATATTTATTTATTCAATGTGGTTAGCTCAATTTGAATTTTAGAGCCAAGCCTCCCACCAAAAAAAAGAAAATGTAGTAATTTTTTACCCACTGCTCTGAAGTTCTCAGGTAATATTATCCCATGAATCAAGAGGAGCATAACATAATTCAACCTCATTAATATTTGTTGAATAACTAAGAATTAACTCATGCAACTAAATATTCTGCCTGAATGATAGCAAGATTTTTCATTATTGGAATGATTAAATCAGACCTTCTTAATGAACCAATTTTTTTATCCATCTAGAAATTTAGACAAACATAAATTAACTCAATTTCTAAAAGCATCTGAATAAGCCATTTGATTTGTGAATTAATCAACAAATTCTCAGCATCTTACAATGTACTAGGAATGTGCTATAAAAATTAAAATAAAATCTAATTGTACTAATTATATTCCATAAGCATTTAGAGAACACCTTTCATTGATCAGGAAGCACTGAGAATACAGAAAATACAAATCTTGCCCTGGCTGGTGTGGTTCAGTGGTTGAGCATCAACCTATGAACCAGGAGATCATGGTTCGATTCTCGATTCCTGGGCAGGGCACATGCCAGACTGCAGGCTCCATCCCCAGTAGGGAGTGTGGAGGAGGCAGCTAATCAATGATTCTCTCACATCATTGATGTTTCCATTTCTCTCTTCCTCTCCCTTTCTCCAATCCAATATAATAAAGAGGTAATATGCAAATTGATCCTCATGCCCTCACAAGATGGCTGCCTACAACCAGGCCAGCAGGGAAGTTAGTGAGGGACAACCGAACAACTGAACAGCAGGTCGTGTGGGGCAACCAGGCTGGTGGGGGGGGGGGGGGAGGGTGGAGAGGGGGTGCCGTGAGAGGTAACCAGGCCAGCAGGGGTGGGGCAGTTGGGGGCAACCAGGCCAGTGGGGGGAAGCAGTTAGGGTGACCAGGCCGGCAGAGGGGGGCAATTGGGGGCAACCAGGCTGGCAGGGGGGACATTAAGAGGCAACCAGGCCAGCAGGGGCAGGTGCAGTTGGGAGTGATCAGGTCAACAGGGGAGACAGTTGGGTCGGTTAGACTGGCAAGGGGGATAATGAGGGCCCATGGTGGGGGAGGGGATTTGGAGGTGACCAGGCCATTAGATGAGGCAGTTAGGGGCAACCAGGCCAGCAGAAGGGGGCAGTTGGGGGCGACCAGGCTAGAAGAGGGGGCAGTAAGGGGTGACCAGGCAGGCAGGCAGGTGAGCAATTTGAAGCTAGTGGTTCAAGATTGTGAGAGGATCAGGCCTAAACCGCAATCAGACATCCCTCAAGGGGTCCCAGATTGGAGAGGGTGCAGCCTGGGCTGAGGGGACCCCCCAACCCCATGCACAAATTTCGTGCACCATGTCTCCAGTGAAAAGAGCCCTAGCCGGCTTGGCTCAGTAGGTAGAACATCAGCCTGTGGAATGAAGGCTCTCGAGTTTGATTCTGTTCAGGGACATATGCCTGGGTTGCAGGTTCGATCCCCAGTGGGGGAGGTGCAGGAGGCAGCCAATCAATGATTCTCTCTCATCATTGATGTTTCTATTTCTCTCTCCCTTTCCCTTCTTCTCTGAAATCAATATATATATATATATATATATATATATATATATATATATATATATATATATATATATAATAAAAGACTCCTACTTCTAAAGTAAAAAACAACAAAACTTAAAAAAATAAAAAGGTGGGGAAGGACTAGTCCCTCTCCACTGCCTCCCATGCAGCAAACTCTGGGGCTCTTGTAGGGAGAGCCTTTCTTTAAGTATATGAGGCCAGTTTATAATCCCTTCAGTAAACGTGGTAATTAGTGGTATCTGGTTTCATATGTGGAATAAGGAGGTTGTTATGGTTGATGCATTTATTATGGATAGTATGAATGTAGTAGTTATTAGATTATAGATAAATAGGTTTAATAATGCTATGGTTGGATTATAAATTAAGATAGAAATTATTTATCCTATATGAGCAACAGATGAATAAGCCATAATTTTACGTAACAGCCTTTGATTTAATCTTCCTCAACCTCCAATTACAATTGATAATAAGGCTATATTTAGAGATTTAGATTAATAGGTGAAATTGTGTATAAGACGGATAAGGGGGCTAGTTTTTGTTATATTAGTAGAATCAGTCCTGCTGATAGAAAACTCTTTTAGAGAGGGAAGGAGAGGGAGAGAGAAATAGAAACATCAATGATGAGGGAGAATCATTGATAGGCTGCCTCCTGCACACCCCACACTGGGGATCGAGCTCATAGTCTGGGCATGCGCCTCAACTGGGAGCCGAACTGTGACCTCCTGGTTCAACCACTGAGCCATGCTGGCTGGGCGTAAAATCAAAATTCTATTTATATGCCATATATTATTTTTACATAAAATTCCCATTAAAGTCTACAGTCCTAATCTCATGGGGAAAAAAAAGAAAGAAATATTTCATGACAAATATAAGGCAAATTTCCCAGGGAAAGATGTTTATCCTAAGTAATCTAGACAACACAAGGTTTGAAAGTCTCTAATATTACTCCTATCACTTTTCATTTGTTACTTTTTCCCCTCACAGGAAAGTCAAATACTTTATACCATTGCCTGGATCACTGGAAATACAGCATCTCATTTCCTCACCTCCAGGCAAAATGCAAACTAGACATGTGTTCTATTCATTTAACAGGCATTGAACATCAACTTATGGGCCACACGCTGAGAACAAAAAGAAAGGAAGAAGACCCTGTTCCTTGTGCTCATATTGCATAATCCTCCTCACTCCAAAACCTGATGCCACTGTTTAATGTTCTTGTCAGGTTTTCCTCCCTCATCTAATGTTCTCTGGAAACAGAATAGCTATTTGGTTACATACAAGTCTTCAGCTCCAATAACCTTGTTTCACTTTACAGAGCATAAACTTTGCATTAGAATTAAATTGATGTATTCCTTTAAGTCCAACTTACCACACACCTTTTTTTTCTTCTTCATTTTTTATTTGTTTGTTTGTTTGTGGGAGGGTTCTAAGCTAACTCTCAGTTAGTGCAGGGACTACATCTAGATCTTGCTCAATACTTTGGAGCTTGACTGAACACAGTGATGCTTAATACATTTATTTTGACTAAATCTCTCTGACAACTGAATCATACCACAAGTCACATGCTAACTGCAAACTCTGGAAAATGGGGATATTGATATCTTCCTCATACGGTTGTTATAAAAGGAGATGACACATATAAAACAATATCTGACACATAGCAGACATTCAAAAAATGTGAGCTCTTAATATTTTAGTGTAACAAACATCTTATTTCGGAATAACTTTACATTTACAGAAAAGTTGCAAAGATAGTAGAGAAAGTTCCCACATCGCTCAAAAAGTTCCCACATCTCTGATATTAATATCTACACTAATAAAAGAAAAACATGCAAATTACATCACACCACTATGCCCAACAGCCAATCAGAATGAGTATGCAAATTGAACTGAAACCATGGTGGCAGCCCCGCCTCCCAGCCGCTCCCAGCCTGTGGGAGTTGGAGAAGTTGGTGCCAGTGCCTGAGGCTGGCTGCAGCCACGGAGACCAAGAACCCCCGCCTGCCCCATGATCCCAGGCCTCAACCAGCCTCACAAACCTCACGTCCTCCTGCCCCATGTCCTGGGGGAGACGGAGAAACCGGGCCCCAGCACCTAAAGCTGGGTGAGCCCGAGAGACGAAGCAGCCGCCTGCCCTGTGATGCCAGGCTACGGCCAGCCAGAGAAGCTGCCCACCCCATGTCCGCCCACCCCATGTCCCCCGCCCCACATCCTGAGGGAGATGGAGAAACTGGGACCAAGTACCTGAGGCTGGTTGCAGCCTGGAAGATGAAGAAGCTGCCTGCCCTGTGATCCCAGGCCACTGCCAGCAGCAGAAACCTCAAGTCCGCCTGCCCCACGTTCTGGGGGAGACGAAGAAACCCGGCCCCAGCTCCTGAGGCTGGATGCGACCTGGGAGATGAAGAAGCCACCTGCCCCATGATCCCAAGCCAGAGCCAGCTGGAGAAGCCACCCAACCCATGTCCTGAGGGAGACAAGAAACCGGGTGCCAGTGCCTGAGGCTGGCTGCAGCCCGGGAGATGAAGAAGCCACCTGCCCTGTGATCCCAAGCCACGGACAGCAGGAGAAGTTGCCCCCACTGCATTCTAGGGAAGATGGAGAAGCTGCCCACCTTCAGTCCTGGGCACAAGCACCTGCAGCTGGCTGTGGCCTGGGAGATGGAGAAGCTGCCCAACCTGCAGTCCCAGGAGCCAGCACTTGTGGCTGCAGCACAGGCAAAGCCAACTGCCCACCATCCCGAGTCTGCAGCCAGCCTGGGCACCCATGGCTGACCAAGAGGAGGGCTGCCCAGATCCCGGGTGCCTGTGGTTGGCTGGAGGAGGGAATCCTGGGTCCCGGGTGCAGGGCCGAGGCAGAGGTGGTTAGGGGCAATCAAGTTAGCAGGGGAGCAGTTAGAGATGATCAGGCTGGCAGGCTGAAGCAGTTAGGGGTAATCAAGCAGGCAGGGGAGTGGTTAGGAGCCAGCAGTTCTGGGTTGTGAGAGGGATGTCTGACTGCTGGTTATCCCATGAGGGGTCCCAGATTGGAGAGGGTGCAGGCCAGGCTAAGGGACACCCTTCCCACCACCCTCCATGCACAAATCTCACACACAGGGCCTCTAGTCTTATATAATCATAGTACTCTTGTCAAAACTAAAAAATTAACATTAGCACATTATTATTAACTATAGGCCTTGCCCTGGCCAGGTAGCTCAGTTGGTTAGAGTATTATCCTGATAAAACAAGGATTCCGGTTCCGCCCCCAATCAGGGCACATACAAGATGCAACCAATGAATGCA